CTAAACCCTAAACCCTAAACCCTAAATCCTAAGTCCTAATCCTAGTCCTCAGCCCTGGCCCTAACCGTAAAAGCCCCCGCCCGCCATCCCTCAAACCCTAAACCCTAAACCCTAGCCTCTAGCCCGTAAACCCTAATCCCTAAACCCCTAGTCCCAAACCCTAAACCCTGAACCCTAAACCCTAGCCCCTACTCTTCACCTATCCCCTATCCCTACCCGCTTCCCGCCGGCACCTAAACCCCATCCCCTAGCCCCCAAACCAAACCCTAAACCCTAAACCCTAAACCCTAAACCCTAGAATGCGGGGAGGATCTTCATTTCGCGCGGACTGCCTGTTGGGCCGCGTGGCCTTCATCACTGGGGGAGCCACAGGAATAGGAAAAACCATTTCGAGGGTTTTCCTGCAGCACGGAGCTGAAGTCGCCATTGCTTCTAGAAACCGCCAAAGACTCCAAGATGCTGCTCAGGTCCGGCTTACGCTACTGCTGCTGCTGCTGCTGCTGCCACTGCTGCAGCTGCGGTTGCTGCTGCGGCTGCTGCTGCTGCTGTTGCAGAGGCCGCTGCGGCTGCTGCGGCCGCTGCGGCTGCAGTTTCTGCTGCTGCTGCGGCTGCTGCTGCTGCTGCTGCTGCTTCTACCAATAGGAAGACGCATCCCTGTTTGTGTCCGTGTACGGTTCAAAATATAGCACTTTTGCGTTTTATTTCAATAAAATCCTTTTTTGGAATTTTGAAAAGTTGATTCTAATTTGTTTTCCGGTGTCTTGTGACCTTTTCATGTTAGCGCATTTCTTTCTGGGCTGTCTGTACACCTCGGCGAAAGAGCAGCGTACACCTCAAGCAGCCTCCAGCTGCAGTTTTTATTTTTATTTTTATTTTAGCATTTATTTTAATTCCATTTAAATGCTTTTTTTTGTGAAATTTCTTTGAAAAGTGTACTTTCACATTTGCGTCTTTAATGCCTTTTTGCCTTTATTTAGATCCCCGTGAGCTCTTGTAAACTAACGCCTTTTAGCTGCTGCTGCTGCTGCTCGCTTGAGGCCCGGGCTGCAGCAGCAGCAGCTGCTGCTGCTGCAGCAGCAGCAGCAGCACAGAAGGATTTTTGACAGATTCAGTGGCTGAGCGGTTTTAATCAGGCTTTTTCAAGGGACAAAAGGCAAAAAGCTGCTGCTGCTTGCTGCTGCTGCTGCTGCTGCTAGGAGCTGCAAAAGCTTACGGGACGGCGCTGCGAGGCCATCTGCTGCGACGTGCGCAGCGCTGCTGCAGTTGCTGCTGCAGTTGCTGCTGCAGTGTCTCTCTTTGGCCATATTGACATTTTGATAAACAATGCAGCAGGAAACTTTCTTGTGCCTTTAAATGAATTGTCTCTAAAAGGTTTTCGAGCTGTTTTGGAGACAGACACTGTGGGGGTCTTTTCTGTCTCCAAGGCCGTCTTCGCCCAGGCCTTTGCGCCCCAGCAGCAGACCTGTGGACCTCGCAGCAGCAGCAGCAGCAGCAGCGGCGCTGCTGCTGCGCCCGCTTCTCCCACAGCAGCAGCAGCAGCAGCAGCAGAAGGCGCAGCAGGAGCCGCCTCGCCCTCTTGTCCACGGGCGTCAGCAGCAGCGCCTTCGTCCTCCGCAGCAGCGCCTGCTGCTGCTGCTGCTGCTGGGGGAGGCAAAGTGATAATAAGCATATCTGCGACGCTGCACTACGCGGGCACGCTGCTGCAGGCGCATGCAGGAGCAGCAAAAGCAGCAATTGATGCTTTAACAAAACACATGGCTGTTGAGTGGGGCCCCTTTAATGTAAGAGTAAATGCTGTGGCTCCGGGGCCCATAGAAGGGACAGCGGGGCTGCAGCGGCTCACCCCCGGCAGCAGCAGCAACAGCCTTAGGAGCAACAGCAGCAGCAGCAGCAGCAGCGGCGGCGAGGGGGACCCGCTGCAGCTGCTGCAGCAGCTGGTCCCGCTGCAGCGGCTGGGCAGGGCGGAAGAAGTGGCTTATGCCTGTCTCTTTTTGTGTCTTCCGGAGGCCTCGTGAGTTTTTAATCATTTAAATCCTCTTTTCCAATTAATTCCATTTAATTTTCCATTTAGTGTTCCACTTAATTAATTGATTTGATTCAATTCTTTTCCAGCTTTTGTTCGGTGGCGCCGAGGCGCTGAGGTGTACACATACCGCGCTGCGCTGTCTCGGCAGCTGTGTGGTGTCTGGACAGCTCGAAACTGAGGTGTACGTACACCTGAATGTGCGCAGCTTCATCACCGGCAGCACTTTGGTGGTTGACGGGGGCCAGTGGCTGACAGCAGCAAACTTCACAGCTCTTCATCCCGCAGTCAACAAACTCTGGAGAGAAGCGCCTTTCAGGGCAAGCCTCTAGCTGCTGCTCCTGCTGCTGCTGCTGCTGCAGCGAAGACACTACCTCGCAAAAGCGGTGCTTCCGCAGCAGCGGCGGAAAAAACAGAGCAAAAGCAACAGCTGCAGCTGCTGCTGCAGCAGCTGCTGCAGCAGCTGCTGCGCCAGGTGAGAGAAAAGTATCCTCAGCAAGAGCAGCAACACAGCCTCTGCAGCAGCAGCAGCAGCAGCAATGGCTGCTGCTGCGGCTGCTGGGTTTCTCGTGCTGCTGGACCAATTGGGCCTCGCAGCCTGCTGCTTTTAATAGCTGCTGCAATGTGCTGCTGCGGGAAGTTTAAAAAGCTGAAGAAAGCAAAAGAGTATTTCTGCTGCATTGCATTTAACAACTTAAACTAGTCCTTTCTTTTTTGCTGCTAAAGAGGCTGCAGACCCAGAGCCGTAGCCCTCAAGCAGCAACAGCAGCAGCAGCAGCAGCAGCAGCTGCTGCTGCTGCTGCTGCTGTGGGGTCAGTCACTGCTGCTGCTGCGTGCAGCCAGCGGGGCTTTGCTGAAGCAAATTAACTGAGCAGCTTCGTGTCTGCAAATACACTTAATTTAGGAATATATGCTGGACAGAAAGTTCAAAGGAAATAAAATATAATTTATAAAATTATTATAATTTAATTCCCAGGCTTTAAACCCCCTCGAGGCCCTTAAGACCTGCAGCAGCAGCCTCTCCTCCCTACCCCTAGAGGGTCCCCCAGAGGGGCCCCCACAGGGGCCCCCTCATGGGGCCCCCCTAGGGGCCCCTGTAGCGTCTCCAGGGGCCCCTCTAGGGATTCCTGAAGGGCCCTTAAGTTCCTAGAGGGTCTCTAGGGGCCCCTAGGGGGCCCCTCAGGGGCCCCTATAGGGGCCCCTTTCTAAAGGCTCCTCTAAGGGCCACTAAGGGGCCCTTTTAGGGGCCCCCTAAGGAAGCTTAGGAGACCCTTTAATAGGGCCTCAAAGAGGGGCCCTGTGGAGCCCAATGTGGGGCTTGGGGGCCCCCCAGCAGCAGCTGGTCAAGATTTACAGCTTTTAGGGGCCCCTGTGGGTCACTTGGGGCCCCTCGGGGCCCTAGTAAACCCTAAACCCTAAACCCTAAACCACGGGAGTGAAAGTCCCTCTGCTTCTAGGTTTTAGAGGGTTGTTTACTAGGGTTTAGGGGGCCTTATTTGCAAACCCTATGGGCCCCTCTTCACTAGGGCAGCAGCGGGGGCCCCTGGCCTCTTTTGCCCCCGCAGCAACCAGCAGCAGG